CAAATTTCTTATCATGAAGCAGGGAACAGGCCCACTGCACAAGTTGACAGTATGGAGCAAGGCTGACGTATTTTCCAAAAGGAAAAAAGGGGCCAGGAATCCCTGCAACTTGCAGGCTCTGAGCGGTGCTGGTCTTAAACTGCCGAACTGATCCCAGGCTGTGTGGGCTACCACAGGGGCTGGGGGGCAGGGGTCACACTTCAGAGACCTTTGAACCTTATAGATCTACTCCAGACAGTACTCTTTATGCAATATCCTAAGCCCAGGGCACACAAGACTCCACAGAAATAGGACCTAGTGCACACAGAGAGTTGTGGCAAGAAGTTGCAGAGAGTTGCACACATTGCACATGTTTAGCGCATGTTTGCAGCACAGCCTCATTTGCACCCGTGCAACCACCTCTTTATGCACTGACAAAGATAAAAGCTCATATTTTACTTAAATCATACACAAATGACCCTTAATAATAGTTACTATTTTTCTCCAAATTTACTGACTATCCCAACCTGCAAAATAAGTGTTGTGAGTACAAATGCTCAGTGTGCGAGTGTGAGCCATTTGGATCCAGTGTCCCACGGGGGGACCATTTCTCATGGGGGGACCATTCCCACACAGTACAGCCATGCACCTTCATGTGCTTCGTTCCCACGGAAAAAAATCTGACCCCCCTCTGGAAACAAAAGCCTCGCAAGCTCGGCCAATAATGGACTTAGGACATGACTCAGCAATAAGTAATTCAGTTCTTTGTCTTTTGGGCCGATCTTAGTGGGGTCTCGTAGTGCTAAAGCTATGCTCTACACCGCCTTAATTACGAACGGTTATCTTTAGAAATGACTCGGCTATAAAGGAACTTTCTAGACTGTTCTCTAATTCACCCCTTTTTGTGAAGCCGCATCATTACTAATGTTCTAGAGCTTTCCCAATTAATTAACTGATCCGCGGACTTCTGAATCACTTTATGCTTATGATCCGAGATCCAGATCATCAATCATTCCTTTGTTCCGATTTATTTGAGCTTAAAATCAAAAAGTTTTGATGAATCATGGGAAAATATACAAGATCCGGTTTTTTAGCATTTTCTCCTCTTCTGATGTGATCAAAAACTGTCCGCCCGCGCTGGGGAATACTCTGTCATATGGTATTCGGTCCACCAGACTTCTGGGCACCAATATATTTCCCTTGAGTCACATTACTTTTTGTAAGAATTAGCAAATAAATATATATGAATTATAAGGTGTTTCGCCGTTTGAGCGATATCTCCGTCAGTTTTGAAGCTTTTAGAATGAAACAAAACCGTGGATAAAGTTTAGAAACAGTCCTTTCAGATGGTAAAAATATTACAGTCAAAAGTTTACTGGTTCCCGAGATATTCACATTTCTTTCCCAATGTTCCTTCTTATTCTGCTGTCTATGTGCTATTTTCTTGTTGTAGGGATATATTCTTTGAATATTACACCTATGCCAGGTTCTAGGCATGCTTGTAGTAGATTAAATCTCATGCTACATGGGTGTAGATAATTTATAATGATCTTCTAATGTCTGTCCAGTCTCATAAAGATCATGAGATCTGTTAAACATCTGAACTTGTCACCTGATTGTTGACTATTCTGATAGATCATTGTTTTATTCTTTGAATATTATTTCTCCTACAACGCACACCCAGCCATTGCACCCCCTGCACGTGCCCTGTGCTGGACACTCCGTGCGGCGGGATGCCCTGGGCCCCGGGTCTCGGGCCACATGTGACTTCCGGATATCTCCGGAAGTTTTCGTTATATTGGGCCACTGTGGGAAGGTGAGAAGTTAGCTTCCTTCTCACCTTCTTACCCACAGCAGTGTGCCCTGGACAGGGGGGTCACAGGGACCCATGAGATGTCCCCTGACACAAGGGTGCAAAGCCTGCGTGATGCATGACAGGTTCTTGGTCTTGTGAGTACAGTACATTGGCCATTCCCCACCTCAGCCCTAATTTCGATAATTTAGATGTATCTTTTCCATTGTCCTTGTTATGGATATAGACTAGAATCTTATGGTCCGTGGGTGGACCCAGGGCCTCCCCCATTTTACTTCTCCATCAAACCCCATGCCAAGCTTTCCCACCGGGTTTTGGTGCTGGCTGGGGGATTTGTTGAGTTTCAAGGGATTTCCCTTGACCATTATAACTTTTATATTAGATAGTTAGAAGTCATATGATGTGTAAGGCAGATGCCGAAAATGTTTTCTCATTATCAAATACATAACCCACAAACCTTGTACCACGATTGTAACATCCTCACCACTGTGTCACCACTGTAAACTCAACCTGTAACCCTGGAACCATGTCCACCTCCCTATTCCTCCTCTCCATGACAAAACCGCAACGAGGAGGGCATTCCCATGCCCAACCTCCTGCTGCCCACTCCCACCAGTCCACCGGGTGGTCGAGTGGTTACTCCCATCCAACCAGAAGTTCCCTATCAGGAACTGTAGCCTATCCCACCTCCTCAGGAGAAGGATATGGCCCAGGCAGCTCCAGGATGCCTGGTGTCAGGGGACGCCCGGTTATCCGGCCCCCTTTACTCTAAGCGATATCAATGAGGTAATTGTTAGCCGAGATTGCGTGAGATAATTACGTAGTTAGAACGCAGATATAACTCATTGCGCTATATTCGCTATCGCGTCACCCCTTACCCGATATTCCCTCATTTCCCGCATCTTCTATCTTCCTATTTGATGTCGTGTTTCTATTAGTTACCATCTTCCCAATGTAACTGCGCTCTCGTGAGTTAGCAGAACTCATGTACATAAGGCTACTATGCCAGCTGGGCTAGCCCCCCAGCTTTGATATCGACTAGTTTCCTGGGGATACTCTTACGCTGCGAATAGACGTGCGGACTCTGACACCTGGCCCTGCACCTGCAGGTCCCACTTCCCACAGTCACCCACTACCATGCACTGGTCCACCAGCCCGCTTTCCCCAACAACTCCCGCTACCGGTACGCTCCCATGAGCGCCAAGTCACTGCTAGCTGAACACTCCCAGCACACCCGCTACCGGCACGCTCCCAGGAGCGCCAAGTCCCCGTTAGCAGACAGCCAGGTGTGTCATATCCGTGCATACCCGACCCCGACCCGACTTCCGGACCTCCACCCTCTTCACCTCCGGAGTCATAACCTACCACTGCCTTTCCGATACTCACCTTCGGTCTTGGCAACACACCCCTCCTCTTACCTCTCCGACCCCTTCTCCGTCCGTTCCGATACTCATCTCGGACCGAACATCGCCCTACTCGCCACCCTTCCTACAACTCCGCTCCCCCCTCACCACACCTCCACCCTCCCGTCATCCCCTACGCTTTCTCCGTCCGTTCCGATATCCACCTTCGGACCTGACTACTCTTCCTTACCTGTCCCCTCTCTCCTTCCTCCGTCACTCCTCCGCCACCCTTCCGCCAAGTTACGACCATCCACCGCTGTTCCGTACTTCACACTCGGACACCGTTCGTACCTTACTCTGAGCCTCCGTCATAGTCCATACCTCGGACTTTGACTCCACCTCGGTCTTAGTCCATTGCATTGGTGACCTCATACTACGTAAACACCATTGCCAATATTCCTCGGACTTCCAACCCCGCCTCCGTAACCTCCGTAAGCTCCGCAACCCCCGAGCTTCGCGGACCGCCTCCGGCACTCTCGCCGTTTGTAATGTATTTCTCGCAATTCCCCCTCATCCCTATTTGGACTACTGCTTCCTTCTATTCTAGCCAGTTAGTCATCACCCCCACTTCCCCTCATCCTCCTGCCCCTCTGGGCCTCGCCCACTCTACCTCCTTTCGGATGTATCACAGGTCTTGCCCTATGACCTTCGGTACCGCTCCACTCCCTCTAACCCTTTGTTCCCGTTCGGACATCTTCGTTCCGATTCGGTCACCCTTTGTTTCTCCTTGTGCTTTTGCCCCTTCCTTATATATATCGGCGCTTGTACATACTCGTCTGGTTTCAGTCCGAAATCGACCTGAAATGCCCCCAAGAGACTTCCTGCTCACCTACTGTGAAATTAAGGACCAAATGGACAAACAGCAATGGCACAGCGCTCCGCTTGAGTTGCTGAGGCCAAGGTCCCTCCATGCTAAGTCTCCGATTCCACTCCGGAGTCGTCCGTTTCCGCCCATCTCTAACAAGGTGGCTCCCTCAAGGAGCCCACATCATACTCGCTACCGGTACGCTCCCAGGAGCACCAAGTTACCGTTGGCCGACACACAGGTTGTACTTCCATACACTCATCCTATTCTGCTCTCCCTCTGATGGCTACGCAGCCACCTCCATTAGTGAGCCGAACGGCTCAGGTTGGGTTCCCTGGAACCCATTCCTGTAACAGTCCTGTCTACTATTTATGTAAATAGCCATACTGTACTCACACGACCAACTACCGGCTGAGCCAGGCACGTGACTGGTCACATGATATAAACTGCCAACTGGCAACTCATTGTGATGTGTGACACCCAACTGGCAGGGGAATTTTTCCATTTTTGAATGTAAATCCATTCCCGAAATGGAAATTTTGAATTACTTTGCATAGCCACCTTGCCTCAGCAGATCTGGCATGACAGCCGGGCACCCAACCACCGACTGCCTGTGACATGTGACAGACCCTGACCGGACTGGGAGGCCACTGTGATGCATGACCGGTAGTTGGTTGTGTGAGTACAGTATGTACAACATCACTGGGCACATAGTTATCAGGACGTCCTCAGATTTTCCCACAATCCAATTTTGGCAGCAAGCCGCATCACCAGGACGTCCACATTGAAATAAGCCGTTTAGGCCCTATTTGAAGCGTAAAAAACACCCCTTGATAGGGTGGGTTAATTGGCTGACTAGCCTGTTCACGGTTTCTTACTGATTACCGGAACAATGTATGCTGTACGCACTCTAGTTCAAAAAAAGTTTCACCATTTTCAATATTTGCCAAACACGTGATTTTTTGCGCTCATTCCAGAGGGGTGTAGGTTTCACAACAGTATGACCATAGTCACCATATCAGTTTCGTCTCTAGACACACACTCGGAGCGTAACTATGATTTATCTCTGACAATCGCTACCCTCAAGGTATGGCTAATATACCTCATACCTGAAGATCTTTCACTCCATTTTCTCTGCACCTAGCAAAAACTTGAATTTGTCACAGGCATCCCAGCAGCATCGCAACGACTGCAACTTTACGACTCGGCAGATGAATCCTCAACGTTTCGTGAGTTGGAATCAGACGAGTTACCTTTGGGTTTTTATGGTGTAACGTCAGGCATGCACCTCAAGGTGGAGTGTTTAAGTTCTCCTTGTCGTAGGATCTTCTTGAGGCCATGCTTCCTATATATGATGAGATTGACGACATGGATCCGACGGCAAACCTGTCGGGTATATTTTCTGACGTCAGTCAAGTCGAGAAATTCGAGTTAAGTAAGGAAGATTACGAATCTAGACAGAGTTAGTATATATTTTGCCTTGGATGAATGCTTTTCGAGTCTTGCGCCCTTTTACAGACACCATCAAGGCATTCAAAGAGCGTAACAAACTGGGACGGTTTAGTGATAGCCGGACCCACATCCTGCAGCCCACCTCCATAGAACGTGTCTCGGTTGGTGACCGAGTCCGAGTTGGGTCTGAAGCTGGTTTAGACAGGAGGGGAACTGTACGCTTCGTTGGGACAACTAAATTTGGCAAACCAGAGGGTTCCCTCTGGATTGGTGTCGAGTATGACGAACCTGTTGGGAAAAATGATGGGTCGTATGTGGGATTCCTGTTCCTCTGACCCAGTAATTCCCTCACCCGCTTTCAATCTAGTGTTAATGGGAACCGTTACTTCGACTGCTCAATGAATTATGGAGGATTAATACGCCCGGACAGGGTTCAGGTAGGCGACTTCCCGCCTTTGATTGACTTAGAGATGTAAACAATGTTTTTGTACTACACACTTGACAATCAAGTTCTGAACTGGCATAGCCACAACGTGTTCTACTCAATTGCCTCGTACTCACCCGAACGCAGCCAGCAACTTCCCCATTGATATATCAACATCCTGACCGCTCCTCAAGTGTTCCGGATGCCATGAAGTCCACAAGCCTCGTCTCTGTCAGTATTCACGAATTGAATTGTCAGCGTCTTCTGAATCGTTCCTTATTTAAAGGACAAAGCGAGCCCCTCAGACAGATACGCCCTCCCAAACGGACAAACGATATATATCAATGGTGGGCACTGGTGTTGTATCTTTTTGGCCCTGCTGAACAGTGCCTCCAACAAGATCATGTCTATTCTGCAGCACCATGGGGCGTTCGAGACAGCAGTCTTCCCTATTCCATCGGACGAGTGATGGAATTTCTTCCTGGTGAAGGTCAAAGAAGTAATGGTGGGACTGAGATAGCTCGAGCCCGGATTGCGTGGTTCTATCGTCCAAGCGACCTTTCCGATCGTCCAAGCTTGGATTCAAGACTCCTCTTGGCTGCCATCTACTCCGAAGTTCAGCCAATCTCATTTATCAGGGGAAAGTGCTACGTTCGTCACAGAGATATGATACCTGATTTGAACGCGTGGCGGAAGACTCCGGATTCCTTCTATTTCTTTCGATTTTTCGACCCTTATATCAAGAAGGAATACGAAGTTTTAAGGTCTCAGGATGTTAACAACCGTAAGTATTAGTTCCAATAGTTGAAGATCCTTCTGAATTTGCTTCAGTGCCTCAACGTATCAAACTCGCGCTGACACAACGATATCAGTTCGTTGTCGCAGAGAAAGAAGTTGTTCCAGACTTGCTTGATACCTTGCGTAGCTGTGACACCTGTGTAGAATGGTGCTCTCCGTGCGTGTTCCACGCTTATCCCTTATGCACGTTCTCGAGAACAATTTATTCGATTAGCGCGGACACCGTTCGATGTGATCGTTGCAAGAAGTTCTTTCACATGCAGTGTGTGCACCCGCCGCTCGCAGCCAAACCGGCTAAGGGATATGGGTGGACGTGTGCACCCTGTTCGAAAAAGCATGACGAACTAGTAGATTTTCAGGGTGTACGTTCTGAGAGCCCCCCTCGTATCTCGAGAATCCGAGCGAAAGCACCACAAGAGGCAGATCCCCTTACCTCTGCTCTCCAGCCCACTGTTTCCGATGACACGCGTTATTTCAAGATGTGGCCATTCAGATACTTTGGGTAGAATGATTATTGTAGACTGGAACTATTTCGTTCTAAATGCTTTCTAGGCTGTATACAAACGCCGAGGACACCTTAGGTATGAGCTATCTGGCATCGAACATTCCTTCTGACTGACGGGACACCTAGATCCTGATGACTCCATATTTCCTCGTACTGCCACAAGGATAGGACCAAAATACCAAGCGGTTTGTCCACCATACGATCAGCCCGACACGAAAGGCAAATCAACCGTCGTTCTGCCGAGTGATGTTGTTACTTAACTGGCTCTTCCAGCCCCAGAGTTTGTTGACGAGCCTCGGCGGGGTAGCGATGAGACCGTTGAGGTGATTTCTTCTGTTTGCACCCTTTCACCAGACCTCGGTAAGTTGTCAATCATCTGCTATAGGTGCAATCTTAAGCTTCCTTTAGGTGATGCTGGTATGTCAAATCATAATTAAATGATGCAACCGCTTTTAAGACTCCAACAGTCGAATTCCACAAGAACAGGTTATGGCACAAACCTGAACAAAAATACCTTGTCGATTTCATTGATGAATGCCTCCGGAGATATTCTGCAGCAAAGACGTTGGAAGAGATCGAGCAGGTCAAAATGAAAGGAGTTCTCCGGCGACGCAAAGTAAGGAGCTCACATCTGGAGATTGATAGAAGTCGAAGTCTCGTATGCTTTTGTAGTGGCAATCTGAGGAAGCTCGTTACTTTGACCCTCCTTGGTCAGAGGAAGAATCAAGACTGTTCCAAGACTCGATTTTTGCGCATGGCGGTGCCGAAATGCGGGCCATTCAACGAGACGTGAAGACACGTAGTGTGCCTGAACTGGTGCGATACTATGGCAAATGGAAAAAGTTCGAATATATTTTTTTGATTTAGTAGCAACTGATTGTGCTGTTCATAGTGAGCAACTCAGGATCCAGCGCAAGAAGGCAGAAAGACGAAACAACTTAGCGAGGTCGGATTCTGCAGCCTCACAGACGCCCTCAGAGTTACCCTCCGACAGCAATGACAATGATTCCATATACGGGTTGAACTATCCCCTGAATAAATCTTGTGGGGCTTGCAAGACGAGAGTATCGTCTCGTTGGTGGAAACCTCCACGGGCTCTCGACCTGACTTCGCCAATGTTGTGCGACGACTGCAGCATGTCTTGGAGAAAATATGCAGACCTAAAAATTGGGAGGTCTGAGGACTCCGTTAAGACGAAAACATCTGCAAAACGAGAAGGATCCCCTCTGGTGCCTCCGCAGTTAAAGCGAACCAAGGCGCGTGCTACCTCGTTTCGTACGCTGCTGACTTACCTTCAAATTCTATTCAGGTTGTCTTGAAGGATGCTACACCGCCTCCTTCTGAGTCGAAAGTATTGTGTTCATGCTGTAGCGAAAATGGAGCATTAGAGGACATCTTCTCGTGTGAAATCTGTGGAGTCACCGTTCATCCTGGTAGGCATGATGCCAATCAATCATGTTACCCTTCATCTACATCTAAAGAACCAACAGAGTGCGCTGGCATACCCCCGCATTCGGATCGAGATTGGGTTTGTGATATCTGCGACAATGAACGTACAATGGAGTCGTCAATGGTGACCATAAGCTGTAGCTTTTTTGATAAAACCGCTTAACCGCTTCCTCCAAAAGGATACTCGTTGCCTCATTTGCGCGTCTCAGCCTGTCCCAGGTGAAGTTGTTTCGCTGGATGATTATAGCTCGTATTTGCGGATAAGGAAACCAACCGAGAATCGTGGATGGGTTCATGCACTCTGTGCAATATTCTGTCCAGAGGTCCAATTCACCGACTCTTCTCAACTTCGCTTCGTGGAAGGCCTCAGTGCAATTGCAGACTGGAAAAGAACCATGGTATCAGTCTGGCCCCTGACCCATTGTAGGTAGGCTCATCCTTTTTCCCTTATAGAAGTGTTCGATTTGCCACCAGCACGGGGGCGCAGTTGTGAAGTGTGAGAGCGGGGACTTAATTCACGTATCATGCGCATGGCGAAACGGCTTTGTTTTTGGCTTTGAAATTCTTCCGGTGAGTTTTCATTCACTTACTTACTCTGAATTTTACCGAAACCCTGAAGGTGAAAGCGTCTCGGAACAACCAGCATTCGATCATTTCGTTTCATGGTGAGATTGGTGTTATCACCCCCGTAATTGCACCATCCAGCACACGCGAAATTCATGGATTGTGTGAACGGGATGTGGATGGCAAGGTTCGCCCTTCATGTCCAAAATTTCCTGGGCACTCATCCCCTGGGTAGACGCTGCTTCAACTCTATTGTGAAAATTACAAACAAGCACCCCTTACTACATACGGTCTGCTTCGAAAAGCTCGACGTTTGGACGATTTCCTTCTTCGGTCAACACCAAATAAGATTGTTGGTCTTGCTGATCCCGAGTGTGGGCGATGTCGAACGGCATATTCACCATACTTTTGGAATGACGATGGCACCACATTCTGCCACCAGTGCTGGAAACAGTTCAAAAAGGAAATATAATGCATTATGTGTTTCAGATGTCATGATGTCCTTCGTTTGTAGAAAAGTATGTATGCTGGTCTCCCCTGTCGAGTCTCGTTAAGTACAGCTAGCTCTGGATTCACAAATTACGACTTACCACGACATTCGCGGTGGGGACTTCCATAATCCGCGAGTCGTCGCAATAAAGCCACCTTCCATTCGATGCGATATGGGCCGTGTCTGTGTGGAGGTTCAGAGATTATCACATGCTGACTTGAGGAACCTTTTGAACTTACAGTGTCCGCTGCTGAGGTTACCAAAATGGTTGATAACTCCATAAAGGTCATACATAAATGGAGGATCCTGCGTCCTAGGATCTGTCTTGCTTTGCGATTTCATGCTGCTCACTACGGCAGTAGTGGATTGAGGCATGTACCTGGTTAGGTCCAATCCTCTGACAGGAAAGTCAACTTGAGTCTCTACTTTGTCCGTGAAGGGCCCATTGAATGAGAACCGTTTCAAGTGGATGAGCAACACCGGCGGGAGACGGGACAATGATAATTGTTTGGAAGCTTTTCGTAACACCTTGCAGTGGGGACAATTCCTTGACGGGATTCGATATGAAGATCCAACACATTATCCATATCTGCTTACCAAGCATTCGATTTTTCCATAATCTCTTCCCCCACAAAAGTGTCCAAACACTGTGAAAGACTAGCCTTTTCTCCACGAGTGGGAATAGGCAGCGAAAGATACATGAACGCATTGAAGGTTATCGACGTCTATGTTACTTTGGCTTCAATAACGTTGAACTCGATACTACACAGCAAAACCCCACTCTACCTTGCGACAAGTAAGACACTGCAACCGATTTCTGAACTGGCCCTGAAAGTAATCGACTACAATGCTATCATTTCGGGACAGGTAAAAAGTCCATTCTTGCGCGCTAGCAATCTGATGCGGGAGATGTTCTAACTCTGCTTCTCGTTCTATGGTGAGAGCACGAGGCTCTGGCCTTGCCAGAACCCTATTGAGATCTTCATGTAAACCATCAAGGAGGAAACTGAGGAACTCCTGTGCATCATGCTGATTTGTGCCAGCGAATTGGACGCCACGCTGACATATATGAGTCTGTGCGGGAGGAATTAGCATATGTAAATCCCCTTTCCATAGTTTGCCACACCCGGAAATGAGTCGGCGAGAGGTATGTGTATTCACTTCGCCACATATCTCTTATGATAGAGGAGAAAGCCTGGGCAATAAGTCCTTTGCTCCCCATTGGATTGATAGTGTTGACGGCGACTTCCACCGTCCGTCTTGTGAATTTATTTAGAAAACTGGTTGTTGCTCAGAGAACAAATCTCACCTTGGAAGATGCGCACAAATGGAACTGTGGAACTGAGGCACTGTAAGGTGGCGTTCATGTAACAAGTATTCCCCAAATTTTTCAAGCCAGATACACCAATCTCAACATCTCCCCATGTGACCACTTGGAATCGGGAGTCGATCGTTGGTGGGGTTGGTGCCAAAGGCCGGAGGAGAGGGACAGGCTGTTTCAAGAGCAGCCTTTGATCTTGCTTCTCTACTGGGTTGGCCACAGCAGGAGGGCGATTCAATACTCCCGGCGTCGCAAGGACTGGGTAATCAATTGCGGTAAACGGCCGCACGCCGACGTAAGATATTTGAGATTCCATGTAGTCGTCTCGTTGCCGTGGTATACGTGGGACGCTCAAGGCACGAGGCGGGACCAATGGCACAAGTGAAGTCCCTTCGCCTATTGGGACCGGGTCTCTTACGGCGGAAGTTGGATACGCCACAAGTGTAGGTTCCATCGGATCAAGCCTTTGGGGATTGTTGTGGCTCGACGGAACGGAATGACTAAACTCTTGTTTGGAGGGCCGTGCATGCGAAGAGGGTGGCTCTTCTGAAGTTTGGTTGGGGTTACTAACCGAAAGTCCCGCATCCTTTAGGGTTGGCAGTCGATCAGGGACAGAAGTGTTTGGAGAGTCGGTGTTAGCAACTTCAACTTTAGCTCGGGATTTGAAAGTTCGATTGACCCTTTCCCTAAAGTTGAGCTCTATTGCCTCCAAGCTCGGCTTGACCTTGTGAATGACTTGCTAATGTAAAGATGTATTTAGTGTAAATTGAGAATATTATTCCACAACTAACCTCTTGCAAGAAGAACAATTGACGATGGACGTCCTTCACTTTTGCATTGGGAGAAGCTGTTTGCTTGATTTCGGGCATTTCTAACGCATGATGCATGAACCTGCCAGTCGCCCAGGATCAGGACCTTTATGGTCAACCGGAGCTGTCCAATCGATGTCACCTCATGCCTTGCTGATACTTCAGGTACGCATCAGAGAGCTTCCCTTCGTGCTCATATGCAGAACCATCTTCGAATGCCGTCTCAGCGACGGAAAGTATGCTTCCGGGACTTGCTGTGGTCCCAGAGACCACCGATTGTACTGTGCGAGATGCCTCTTGCCGCAGTTCTTCGATAGTCGCATTTTCATTCATTCGTCTGGTCTCTTCCCTGGCGACTCGGCTTCACGGCGAGCACCCCTGTGAGGTGGTGAAAGATCGCGTTAAGTTGGGCGCAGCAAAGGTGAGCATATGGGTATATATGTATTAATTATATAATCAGGGATCACCACTCAGAACGTGACTCCCGGCGCTTGGTTCAGGATTTCCTCTTCTCATTGCGTGCCTCTGAGTAATCGTCCATGGGCCCTAAAATCTCCGACGAGAAGCAATCGGCTGTCGTGCATTGTCCATGCAACAACCCCCAACGAGGCATTCAGCTGGTGCGATGCGAATCCTGCCAAACATGGTGCGTTTCTAGTACAACTTCGCAATGGAAACACTCCTGCATTTTCATTAGGTATCATTTTGAGTGCATCAGAATGGCCAGCTGGATGGCCGATGAGCTGGTTGGGTATGTTTGCGAGCGATGTCAACTGCCTCACCAGCGGACTACCCGTAAGTCCTGTGTTTTATAACACTCTTAGAACTTGCTCACCATATCGCGCGCGGCAATTCGAAAACTGCGATTTAATTTCTTTCGATGACCCCTGGGCGGCGCGGCCCTGCTCTATTCACTCGTGCTTCCCATCAGTTCTCTGGGAGGATTTTGATCAAGCTTATTTCAACTGTGCCGATACACCTTCAGCAGCAGGGAAGCCGGAAGGCCATCGATACCATGAAGCATCGAGGTCCCATCTCAGTGATCTATACTTGTCTTCAAGCGAGAGCGTGGTCTCAGAAGGTTATGATTCTCGATCTGACTCATGGGACAGCAAATCCGTAGACTTTGAAAGTGTCCGGAAGGACGGAACACAACAGGACTCTAGTCGTATCGTGAATGTCAGTGCTCCCTCTCTTTTCGAGAGACTCGATGGCTAATATGGACGACTTTTCAGGAACGCCGGCTCCCCTCCACGTCTCCTAGGCCGGGACAGCTAGAAATTGCCCCGACCGTTAGCAAACCGCGAGTTGCATCTAGAACCTCCCAACGACCAACAAAAGCGTCAAGAGGGGCAGAAAAGAGGATAATTTTAGCGGGGTTGAAGATCCCATTCGCATGTATTGTCTTCGAAAGCTCCAAGAAGTGATCACACCGATCTTCTGCGAATCCGCAGCACACGAGCCTGATTATTCCAATTCTGCGAGTCTCGAGGGTGTGTCATACGTCAAAGAACTGGAGCAACATCTCTTTCAGGCGTTCAGGGAAACGGACAAGGCCGGTAACATACTCGTTGGAAACAAATATAAGTATGTGTTCTTAAGCCCACCATGGTTGTCAGCACTTGATGACGTCATACAGGACCCAATTCCGAATGCTCGCGTTTAATCTGGAAAAGTCGGATCGTGTATCTCTCCGTCAAAGTATCCGTACGGGAAGGATGACAGCCGCTGAATTGTCTGTGATGTCCAACAGTGAACTTGCCAGTGATCAACAGAAGAAAGAAATCGAGACAGCACAGAAGGAATCTTTGGAACATTCCATATTGGATGGTCGGCAAATGAATAGACCGCTACGGAAAATAACCCACAAAGGGGAGGAGGAGATCGAAGATATGGACAGAGATGACGATGCATCAAGGACCCGGAGTGTCCGAGGAGATTCAATCCTCTATTTTCCCTCTGCCCCAAGCTCCGAGCCATCCCCCACGTCAGATGACCCCAAGTTCGCAATTCTTCCTAGTCGCAAGTTGGTAACATCAGGGAGTTCTGCTTCTGGTGTGGGCGGCGGCGAGCCTGAAGCATTTGCCACACCTCAGTCAATAGGTCCGCCAGAAAGCACTGTGTCTTCGTCTTTTGCTCCTAGTCCCACAGCTAGTGCGCACCCAATCTCTTTGTCTACGGATGTACCGCCTTCCATCGTTGCGTCCCCGACTAGTAAGCGATTTGATTTGAGCAGCTTGGGGTGGGCAGAGAGCGACCATCATTCTGCGCCTCCTGCGCTTGAAACAGAGAGTCCAGAAGAACATCCTGGCGCCCCCCCGTCAGCCGAGTTGGACACAGGTGAAGACGCACGGAGTGATCATGATTTCAACATGTTCATCGAGCCTGAGCATGAAAGAAACGAGCTCACGCCCGCGGAAGTAAGGGATTCTGGCGTTTTGCAATCCTCACCGCCAGCTGTCGTATGGAAAGGCGAGGTGCGCTTGTCGCTTGGATGAACATGGCCTTTCACTCAATTGCAATAACCATGCGTCTTCCAGCTGCGAATGCCTGGTGGGGATGGATCCACCATGTCAACCGAGATAGCTTCGTATCTAATTGCTGGTCGTCCAAAAGGTTACCAGGACTTCTCCTTTTGGAGTTCCATGTTTCCCCGTCCGTTCGTCAGAGTTGATGGTCGCGTAAATATTGACGCAGCTAACACCTACTTGCTCAACTCAAGATTGAACACAGGGCGGGAGCTTGTTGCAGTTGAAATGGTGCCAAGTGACCCACAGCATGAAGCAACGTTTAATGAGATCGTTGCGGTGCTAACTTCAAAGAGGTAAGTTCGTGATGAGAAAGCATGGCGCGGCCTTAATCTCCTGCCACAGGCGACATGGTGTCGTGTTCCCATGGGGGAATCCAGCGCCACCCGATGCTCCCGGTAAGGAGCTTTACCTTGTCCCTCTTCAACCTTCAGATCCCGTGCCCGAGTATCTTCAGTTGTTGGACCATGTTCAGCTTCCGGATGTCCGGACTGCAACAGTTGTACTTGGATTCTTTATTCTCCACAGATCAAAAGTGTCTATCGCTCAACCAGCAACCAACATACCTGTCTCAGCACAAGCCACCAGGGAGAATGGCACCGCAAGCAATGTTTTGCAACCATCAGTCCCCAGCGGAATTGACATATCATCTATCACAGCCGAATATCTTGCTGGAATTCTTCAGAATCCAGCACTGAATCAAACTCTCAATCCAACGGCTCCACCATCCAGTGTCATGGCATTGTATCCTCAATCATCAAATACTGATACCCCAAACAGTGGTGCCCCTGGTCCATCTCAGCCATTAACGCTTGCTCAAACTTTGTACTCCGGCCCATCCACTCCAGCTGTTATCAATCAGCAAATGGGCCGATTTCGCGGCGATGCTCAGTCATCGTCGAGAGGCAGACCGTATGAAAAGTAAGTGCTGATATCGTGATATTGTGAGAAGCGTTCATTTATTTATGTTGTACCTGGGGAACATACGGTCATTGTAGTTACTCGCGAGGGCGACGGTACGCTCTTGATGGCTCAAGGGGCAGGGGTAGAGGGCGAAATGCCGGTTGGGGCCATGCGAATTATTCCCCAGTTGATAACGGGTGGGGGAACAGACGTTCCAGCGGCAGCGGCGGTAGTGGTGGAATTCGGTATTGACGGACACATCAGACTGGGGTTTCTCTGGCACACTTCTGTCGCGTAATTATGTATATATATCCATTTTAGTGACTCGCGACCCAGTGGATCTCTCTCTACCCCTCGGTAGTGCTCCCAACTGAATTCTGAGCATAAGAATTAAACTCGACAGTTGCAGTTTGGTTCGTGGGACGACACAGCCACCCCGTCTCGTTGTGCGTAGGCCATGTCGGAGGCAAAACATGCAGACAACCAGACTCTCGCCGCTGTTCTCTTATCCTATGGTACTGAGCTAAATGATCCCCTAAGTATGGCAATTGAACTTCATGCCCGACCGTTGTACTTTTCGGACCGCTCGAATCTTGTGCCGTATGTGAGCGACAGGTCCCTCTCCCTCCTCGCTCCAATAGTAGCCTATGTCAGTGCGGCATGACGTGAACTTTTCCTTTACTGATGTTTTTGCCTTAGTGGATTTACTCACTCTTCTTCATGCTGCTGGACCATTCGGGCTGGGCTTGGATCAATAGGTACAGGATCCACGAGCCAGAGGAAACCAAACAAAGGAACAAGGCAACTGTTCTGCAAGTTGTGAAAGCTGTTGCTCTACAGCAAATAATTCAGACCGCACTCGGTTGGTGGTGGCTTGATCCAACCGATAAGGACAACGTCGATCATGTCCAGGCCATGCTGGGCCTATATCGCTCCATATCATCCTTATTCCACTACATTCTTAGTCCGGCATACTACCAGAGTTTTATGATTTCAAATGGATTCAGTGTGGTGTCAACTCTCTACTGGTGGTTATTTCCAGCAGCGCAGTTCGCGTTGGCACTGTGAGTCGTTTCTTGTTCGGCCCCAGAACATTGCTGAGTGCGTGCACAAAGTTTCGTGATGGACACCTGGCAATATTTCCTGCATAGGCTATTCCATACCAATCAATTCCTCTACCGCAATTTCCATTGTGTTCACCATCGACTATATGTGCCATACGCCTTTGGCGCACTTTATAATCACTGGTTCGAAGGCTTGTTATTGGATACTCTAGGTGCTGTTATTGCACACACACTCGCCGGTATGACTGTGCGACAGGGGATCTTTCTTTTTACATTCTCCACACTTAAAACCGTCGATGATCACTGTGGTTATGCTTTCCCTTTCGATCCGTTCCAAGTCTTGTTTCCGAACAATTCCACATATCACGACATACATCACAGGGTGAGAGAATCTCATCCTCGTGCCCCCAGCATTACTAATATCAATCTGTCAAGCAGGTGTGGGGAATTAAATACAATTTCAGTCAACCATTTTTTGTTCACTGGGATGCAATCCTCGGGACGAGATATGTTCTGCCCAGGCATAAGGATGAATAATTCAAGTATTTTTCTCATTCACTACTCGCCCGTCCATTATCATACGGCCTAGCTGGTAGCCATAATGATCAAACCCGGAATCGAAGATATGCCATTAGTAGAGCTGCACAGCCAGTTGCTTTGGAGGCCTGAGACTGGGTCGGAATTCCTAGCAATTGATTTTACGACTTACCAACTGTGACCAAGTACTGAAGAGTATTTTGCTAAACGAAAAATCAGACGCAGATCTCGGAGGAACTGGTCATGGTCAAACCTTAGCTGTCTCAATTGCAGTACGAAGTCCAGCAATTTCACTTTCGATGCGTGTGTCAACCTCACGTATTTTCAGTTCTTGAAGACTGGACTCGTCTCGTATACGACCTGACGATGCGTTATGACGTGCACGAATGAGTAAAACATTGCGGAGGATTTCACCTTTCTCAAGATTGAGATCTAAACGCACCCACCCTGAGTGCGAGAAATCTCTTCTCTAAGCCGTTGTTTCAATTTGTCAACTTCTGCCATTAACCGGTCATTTTCGGTTTTCATAAGGGAAAGGTCGTTCTTTTCCACCAGCTGAATTTCCGACTTAAGTTGGGCAAAATCTACCTTCTGACTATAGTGAAACTGGGCTGATTTAATAATTCGAGGGGCGGTTAGAAGACAAGGCCTCACCTTCTCCTGTTGAGCTTTTGTGACCATATTCTGAGAAAGGTTGCGTATACTCTCATCAACCACGTCCGCCATGGCTGCCATGATGCCTTCGGATTGTGCCCGGGTGAATCCTTCACGCTCCAGACGTTGCACAAAGTGGTGTGTATCAAAATGGAAGTCCATCCAAGTAGCGGACGAACGGATCATTCGGGTATGTGCTGGGAGGCCGGTTGGTGGGCTAGGTTTAGTCACACCGATGAGCTGTCCTGAGCGAGAGTTAGCATACAAAGAAAATTCGGGCACATCAAGGTAGACGAACTCAATGGCAACATTAAGATTAGGTAGATGTTTAGCCTGCAAACTTTAGGTGCCAACGATGGGGAACTCCGGAATAAATACACGGAAATAACTTCGCTCTGGTTGGCGGAACCCTCCCATTTTCGACATCGTTAACCCAACATTCGACAATCCATACGTAACGGCTTGACAGTGGAGTAGTATTTGGGCACCACTTGAATGAAAGCGGACAGGTAACCTGGATTCGGATTTATCTCTTTGTTTTCCCCTTTATTTTTGTGTATTTATTCCGACGATCCCTGCCCCGGCGCTTTCACCAGGAAGTTATCATCCGGAACATGCAGTCAGACGACGTTATATGGCACATCGTTGACAAGGGTCATTGTTCCTATAAGGTTAAGTCAGTGCTTTGCATGGCCTTTTTGCTTTCATTTCGTCTCATTTTTGTTTCCAGAACTACCACACAGTTGAGTCCTTGTTTTTCTGGTTTGGAGCCGTTCCATAGACTCAGAACAGATCTTTCTGCCGGAATGAGTACAATGCTTCTGGATTATGCAACAAGCTCTCCTGTCCATTGGCCAATTCACGTTATGCGACGGTCCGGGAGATAGAAGGTCAACCAGGTGAACCGCGCTGCACGTATGGTCTAGGTTAACATTCTCGTAGGGGCCATTTACCTGTATAGCAAGACAATAGAGCGCGCACATACTCCATCTCGCATGTGGGAGCGAGTAAAGCTCTCCAACAACTTCACCAAAGCATTGCAGCAGGCGAGTTCGCGGGCGAATCCTTGTGGGCCCATTCTATTAATTCTGAAGCCGATATTACAGATCGACGAGGAACTGATATATTGGCCTAAATTTATGATTCTCAGGTGCAAACAGCGGTTGACTAGGATTACCCAGTATCTTATCAAAATGCGACGGCTCAAATTGAGCCAGCAGTACGTATTATGTTTCGTACTCCTATACTTACTCTTCAGCTGTACCTGACCGTCAGTTTGTAGAGTAGTTCTTACAGGGGTCAAGAAAAGGGAGGAACGCCGCGAGGCACAGCGGGAGGCCAAGGCTCTTGCAGCCGCCCACCTTGAGAAATCCATTGAGAAAGAACTCATCGAGCGTCTGAGATCCAAAGCTTATGGTGACGCACCTCTCAATGTAAATGAAGACGTATGGAGATCCATTTTGGACCGGACTGGGACCCAAAGCGAAGTTAATTTGGAGGATGATTTAGACGCTGAGGAACTGATGGACGGGGATGGGACGCAGAATGGGAGGGTAATTTTGTCAGCGATGACAGTGATATTGAATCTCTGGGAGAACTGCATTCAGTAAGTGGGAATCCATTCGGCCAGGAGAAACAAGATGAAATGTTTGTTCAAGTCTGACCCCGGGGGGTTGGGAATGGGAGATTCCCCGAATGGTTGGATGGAGCATGCCAGAAAAGGCAGCGGTAAAATTGGTATGTGCCCTCGGCATCTTGGAACAGTGTACAACCTGACTCTCTTAAAGGAAAGGGCTGGGTTGAGGTTGAATATGAGAATGAATATGAACCCATGGAGAAGGATGGCCAACAGAAGTCAGTGATGTGACATGCATAAGTTGTTGCTCCAAAAACTGTTCCTCAAATAAGTATCTAATAGTTAGGTAATTGTTTGATCTCAGCTGCCAAGAGGTGAGCTCAGTGATGATGCCCCAGTGCACAAGTGATCCATTTGCGACTTCGGATGTGATCCGAGATCAGATTGAGTCAATCAACTTGGTTGCTTTGACCCAAGTGCCCAGTTATGCAGCTATAGATGTTGCTTCAGTCCATAGTGAGGACAAGTCTCATGCTCCTTTACAGTGGGAAGCAAATTGCAGTAAAAAACATAGGGAAACCCAGTGTTTTATGGTGGGGCTCCCTGGTATTATGCCTGGGGTCCCAGGTAAAATACTCGGAATACATGTGCCATTTAAAACCTGGATTCCCCTTAGTCTGGATCCTGTCCCCATGTGACTTCCGGATATCTCCGGAAGTTTTCCTGATATTGTGGCCACTGTGGGAAGATGAGAAGTTAGCTTCCTTCTCAACTCTTACCCACAGTAGGCAAGTTGTACATACTTGCCCTTCATTTATATCATCTCTTATGCATCAGCAAAATATTGTTATGCTCTGAGCGCTCCGGAGTATGGAGAGCACTGGGAGAATCAGGAGGAGATTGGCCAGTCCAGGAACAGCTCATTTCCTGTGTCAGAGTACACCTGTTTCCAGCCTGCTTACTCATGACTGATGACACTACACAGCCCCATGATCCAACCCTGTGTGTTATGGATATAGAGTCTCCAATGACCATATCCATCACATTGTCAAAGACCTCCCCTTCCATCACACACTCTCACTCACTCACTCTCTCTCCCAATACCCTACTATCCTCTCCCATTCTATCCCATCCCCCCCCTCGTGCAAAGCTTTCCCCATCAGGGTTTTGGTGCTGGCTGAGGTTGTTTGCATTTCGTGGGATTTCCTGTGACCATTATACTTTGTAGATAGTCATGCATGATGTATGGAAACTGCTGGAGGCAGTTCCTGCTAACGACCATGACTTGCTACAAACTACCTTGTGCATTGTCTCTTGTAACAACCCCCTTTTGTGACTCAGCTGAACCCATGTGTGTGTACAACTCTCAACATGTCCTATATGCCTGGTTACATCAAGTCTTCTGGTGGTTCTCGCTGTGAGAACTTGAAGTCGCAAGTCGAAGCCTTGTGACTTGTGTATCATCCACTGGAACCCGCATCCTACAGGACATCATCACCTAGCTCTCCCTCCAGTGCCTGATGGACAATGTCATACTATGATATTTGGGATCGCAACTGCTCTGAGGTTCATATTCCCATGATGCCGGCATGCTTGTTACATGAGCACCAAGTAGCCACCCATCAACCATCTGGTTCCTCCCTTGTCAGTCATCACACCTCACTGCCATTGGTACGTTCCCTTTGGGAACACCAAGTCACTGAAGGCCCCACTAGCCACTCCTTACTGGGTTCTCATGATAATAACCTGCTACTGGTATGTTTGTACTATGAATGCCAAGTAACCGATAGCAACGATATGGGATCCTCACATATTGTACAAGTCGCAACCGTGCACATGGTACGCTCCACTGAGGAGTGCCAAGTACCCATGGCCAACCTATCTATCCTGGCATCTCCGACTACATGCAATCAAACCCTTAATAACTCATTCCATTGTGAACCATGATTGATGGGGATTCAATCGTCTACTCTCATACATGACTGGGATCTCCCATTGATTACAAAGATCTTGCAATCATCTTCCAACTATAAGAACAGTTCAAGAGGGGAGAAGTTCTCCCCATCCTTGTGACATTGGTGCCCCAACCCTGGTGTGAGAGACTTGCACCATGCCACCAAAGACAGTGTCCCTATTGGGAGATGAACCTGTTACCCCAGTGCAAGCGACCCACAAATTGTATCCTGCTTCCTGACCCGTGAGGATCAGCCAGTTGGATCGTAAATCTAACTCAAGAGACACTTCACCAGTAGGTGAAGATGTGCATTCTTCGCCTGGCACATTCCAGAGACAACAAGCTCTCAGGCAAGTCATTGATGCTCTTGGAGAATTTGAAGGTGGAATTTTTGAGGACTTGAATAATTACATGAAATGTATATGAAATTGGCATTGTCTCGCCCCAGCTGATCTCAAGAAAGAGCCCATTGGAGCCAGTCTCGAAGGAGAGCCTTTGAGATATCGACTTGGGACTGTCTGGCAGGTCGAGCTAACCAACCTACTCATGAAAATCACCAAATTCACCCAGCTTGCCACCAAGGCCAACTTAGCTGCAGGCAATTTTGTAGTGGATCCCCAAGGTGACCTTGCCCTTATATTCACCATAAGAGGATGGTCATCACCCAAGGAGTTCAGCATTGCTTGGAACTTCCTGGACCAGCATTTCAACTCCTTTGAGAAACACTTTGACACCATCAAGAAAGTTGCACATCCTTCATGAGAATTTGACGAGTCGTATATGAGTGGTCTTAGGTTGGCAAATGTCATGCCCACCAACTTTATGGACCCTGGGCAAGTCGAGGAGGCATGGTCGACTGAAATGCAGCCCACTTGTCAACCTGAAGTTCCCCTGTTGGGATGGACCACATATGAGGATCTTATATCTCCTTCTGAAGAGACCACTTTTGTCCATAAATGCACTCAGCCATCTAGGGCCTTCCCAGCACCTAGACCCAGTATCAATGTCGCTGCAGGGATGCTACCCAGAGACGAACCATCTATGCCATTCATAACATGTCATCAAGAGACCAATGCTTTCGAGAACCCCAAGGAGAATGAGGGTTACATGGAATTTGTGAGAGGCCTGAAAATTGGAAGGAAGACAGAGTTGGGACCTGTCGAGGAGAGACTTGATCCTGACAATCATGGACCCATTCCCCCTCGCATTCCTTACTATCCAGCAAATGAAGGTCCCCCTGGACCTGGAGATCCAGATCATGGACCAAGTCAACCACCTCTTGACCCCTGGCAGCCACCTCCATGAGGTGTGGGTCCACCACCTCCACCAGGACCACCAGGGCCACCCCCTCCGCCCAGTGGGGCTCCATACCCTGGGTATATTCCACCCATTAGATACGCTGGGGCACCGCCCCCTCCTCCACCTCCCGGACCCGGAGCGCTAGCAGCCCCCCCGCAGAATCCTGGATACAGGCCTCCCCCTCTCGACCACATGCAACCTTACGTGGATCGTAAATATACTACATCAGACTTCCCTGAGTTCACGACAGCTATATAACGTGGTGCAGCATATGTCGGAACCTAGCCAGGCATTTGCCTGCTTTCGCCCAGCAAATGACCTGCATACTCCCTGATTGTTTCAAGGGCACCCTGGCAGACTGGTGGTCAACTGTACTGGTCACCAACAAACTATATTTCACCACCAACTGGGAAGATCTACATGGATATGTACTACATTTCTTCTTAACGCCTGCCTTCCTCAACAAGGTTCAAGATTGATTCCATGCCTGCAGGTACCATAAGGGTGAAAGGTACTACAAGGAATCCCCACATGACTTCGCAATGTGCAAGCTGCTGCGACTCTTGCATATCTTGTATCCACTCGCTGATGTTCCCAGATCTGAGGTCTTGAGGGGCGAAGCACAAAGACTTTTAGAGGACATCCTGAAAGGATGGTGGGCCCACCTCAACATCGATCAGGTCGACATGGCCGAAGAACTCTTATGGCTGACTAAACTTAAGCATGATGAGTTAGTAGCTAGCGATGAGTTCAGTATTGATGCTTTGGCAAACCAAGTTGCCTGGATTATTGCCATTTTCAAAATTCCTGGCAAACTCCGTAATTCAAAAAATCATGCTTCAAAGTTTGCACCATTACTCAGCGAGTTCTGAACCAAACTTTATAATTAAATCTGCATTGGAAAGTGCCAAAGTAGGGAAATCTATCCATGTATGTTACATAGAGTATTTTGGACATGTCTCAAACGCAACAAATTCAAAAATACAGACCAGCGGGCAAGCAGAGAGCATTTTTTTGGTCTACATGTTATCTGTACACTCATACCAAGCTTTTGACATAAGTTATGGGCTGAAATGAGCCTCCAGTTTGGCAGAATTCTGCCCTCTCTGATCTTGAGGCACAATTTCCCATGGTTTGAGCCTTGATTCCCACAGCCAATAGACTCAAACCCATGGGAAATGAAACCTTGAGAACAGAAGGGCAGAATTCTGCCCAACTGGAGGCTCATTTCAACCATAATTTATGTCAAAAGCTTGGTATGGGTGTATAGATAACATGTAGACCAAAAAAATGCTCTCTGCTTGCTCCGCTGGTCTGTATTTTTGAATTTGTTGCATTTGAGATATGTTCAGAAGACTCTATGTAACATACATGGATAGATTTCCCTACTTCGGCGCTTTCCAACGCAGATTTAATCATAAAGTTTGGTTCAGAACTCGCTGAGTAATGGTGCAAACTCTGAAGCATGATTTTTTGAATTATGGAGTTTGCCAGGAATTTTGAAAACAGCAATAATTTGGAGAGGAATAAACGTGGAGGAGGTTGTGTCGAGACCAGAAGTGTTGCAGTTGCATCCAGGAGCTACACCTATCCTACAAGCGACTTCAAGTCACAGAAGAAACCACCCAGACCTTGTCGACACTGTGGAAGTACGTACCACTGGGACAACGACTGTCCCCCCAGGAAGGCTGATTGT